TATATTGGAAGAGTATTCTTATTTACTTGATCTACCTATCACCGATCATGTTCCTTTATCAAGTTTAGAAAAGGAGCCAGAGTCTCATGAGATTGACACCATAACTCACCTGAGGAAGACTGAGACTGAGGCTAACATGACTACCAAAGTAGGAATCATAGGTTTACCTGCTCAATTTCTATTGGAGAAAGCTCGTTACTTTGCTTGCCTACGGTTTATTCTTATTTCCTAACGTCGACAAGTTTCTGGATGTTAATTCTATTAGGATCTTTCTAATTGGGAATCCAGTCCCTACGCTGCTAGGAGATACTTATTATTCCATCCATCTTCAGAATTTCTACCAAGAAAGGATGATCATCTATTGCACACCGTTGTTATACCAGTGGTTTATTTCTCACTTACCTTGGGCTGCTGCTTTTTGGGATATCAAGAAGAAACCATGTTGGGTACCAAAGATTATAGCTCTCACTCATTCTGAAACTGATTGGTCATCAAGCTTATTATGATGTGAAGATTATTGATAGTTGTGGTATTTTTCCCAATGTGCCTCTTCTTGGTACAAAGGGAGAAATTAACTACAATCTTATTCTTGCATGTTGCCAGCTTGGATATCCAATGAGACACAACCCAAGTAACGTTCATCTGAGTGGTTTCTTTCTATGAGAAAGAAAAGATCACAAATAATCTAAGGAATAGATTGAAAAATCTTTGCGCCATATTCATAGGAAGGGTAGAAAATATTTGGGACCAAGAGGAGTTGTTTCCTTAGAGCCTCATCTCCGGTGGGTACAAGCGAGGGCAATTCAGTTAAAGATACCTTATTCTCATGAAGAACCTTTAGATGACATGTTTATGACGACTACTACTCCCCTTTTAGATGATGCGGAAGAACTTCAACTTGCCTTGGTCAGAATGCAACAAGAGAGAGAAGCATGGGAGAATAAGTATCAGATTTTGGAAGTTTCATACTCAACATAATTGAAAGAGAAAGATGATTTGATTGAGATTCTTGAGAGATATGTTATTGAGATAATGGATAAGCAAGAGGATTTATTTTCCTCTAGCACTCATCCAGGTCCCATTGAGCACTTATCTCCCACTTCTAGTGGATGGAAGGAAGTCACCAGCAAGTATACAGAAGAGAACAAGCAGTTGAAGGGCCAGATGGAGAGACTCAAAAGAAATCGTCAGCGTATGGAGGGATCTTCATCAGCCTTAACTTCTTAGACTTTTTAGATTCTATCTTTATTTATCTTGTATTCAGGATTTTTGAAACTTGTATCAAAAGATATAATCCTTTCCAAAGTTATTAATATAACAAGTTTATTCAGTTTGCTAAAAAATGTGTTGCTTCTTGATATTTGCAATTTTTCTTTAAGTTCCCTGGAAAACTAAAATAATTAAAATAAATCATGTGCATTGCATATGACCCATCATTTCACACATATTTTTGCATTCTTGTTTTCTTCCAGGTGTCTTATTTGTTTCTCTGCTTCGTTCAACAAGCTGTCTCACCAGTACAACACTTAGGCTAATTCTAGAAGGAAGATGAAAAACCTTGAACAAGAGAATCGCGATCTTCGTGAGGAAGTGACTTCTTTGAGGAATGGTATGTCCAACCTAATTACTTTGGTGGAATCGTTGGTGGCTGATCAGAATCAGCCACCACCTCTTCCTCCTCCTCTTGTGACTCAACCACAACAAACGATTGTCATTTCTGAAGTGTTTTCATTTCCCGTCTCTGCTACTTCAGTTGTTACTGCTGCTCAACATCGTATGCCTCGTGGTTATCTGTGGGGAACACTTGAAGGTTACATTCCAGAAGACTATAACCCTGCTGCTCAAGTTACTCCACTTGTTCAACCTGTTGTTGTTATTGCACCTCTTGTGGTGAATGGTGTTCCTGTTATTAATGATGAGGTTTATAATGCTACTCCTCCACCAAGTGAAAGTTTGGGATTCTATGACAGAATAGATGACTTTCAGGATCAATTTAATGAAATGCAGAAAGAAGTGAAGGCCCTCTGAGGGAAAGAGTTATTCGGATAGAATGTCAGTGACCTCTGCTTAGTTCCTAATGTGAAAGTGCCAACAAAATTTAAAGTATTAGAATTTGAGAAGTACAAGGGCAACTCTTACCCTCGTGACCATCTGGTGATGTATATCAGAAGGATGTCCGCTCATACTGATGATTAACTTGCTTATTCATTTCTTCTAGGATAGTTTGACTGACGCTGCCTTGAAATGGTATATGGGATTGGACAGTAGCAACATCCATACATTCAATGACTTGGGTGAAGCTTTTGTGAAATAATACAAGTACAACATGTTTATGGAACCTGACCAGCTGGGAGAAATGGCTCAAAAGGATAAGGAGTCATTTAAAGAGTATGTGCAGTGTTGGCGCGAGGTTGCTGCCCAAGTGGTACCCCCAATGGGAGAGCAAGAAATGGTTAAGGTTTTCCTGAAAACCCTTGGTTCATTTATTATGAAATAATGGTGGCAAGTGCACCAAGTGATTTCACTGAGATGATAAGTATGGGTGTCCGTTTGGAAGAAGCTGTTAGAGAAGGACGCTTGTCAAAAGATGAAGGTGCTAGTGCAACCAAGAAACCGTCATATGATTTCTTTAGAAAGAAAGAAGGAGAGATGAATGTTGTTATTCAAGAGAGAAGAATTAGAACTCCGAGAAGACGTCATCGGCATCAACAACAAGTTTCTTCAGTAACTCTGGTTGCCAATGTCGCTTCGATTGCAGTTGCCTATCAGAAGACACCTCCTCAAGGTAATCAAGGGCAGGGTTAGAAAAGAGAGCCTTTTGATGTTATTTTGATGAGTTATATAAAATTGTTTTCGGCCTTAATTCAGAAGAACCTGGTGCAGACTAGGTCTCCTCCTACTATACCTGCAACTTTGCCATGGTATTATAAACCTGATCGGACTTGTGTTTTTTATCAAGGAGCCTCTTGGCACACTATTGAAAATTGTCATCCGTTGAAAGTTGAGGTGCAAAAAATGATCTGGTCTCTTGTCTTTTACAGATGTAGATCCCAATATGAAAGCTAATCCACTGCCCAAGCATGGAGATAGAGGTACTGTGTATATGGTTTCTGGTTGTCCAAGAGAGTTCGAAATTTTTTATATAAACTTGGTAAGAGGTGATTTAGTAAAGATGCATGCTGATCTCTGTGAGTTTAGCTATTATACACATGACCATGCAACTCGTAGTATCTGCAATGAAGATATTCATGGATGTGATAAGGTAAGAAGTGACCTCCAAGAGATGATGGATGAAGGCCTTATCCATATTATCAGACCCAAGGCTGAATATGAGGAGGAAGTGAACATGGTTTATGGTTGTCCCGGTGAGTTCCATATTTTTTTTATGTAAACTATATGGATGATGATCTGGTAAAGCTACATGCTACATTTTGTCACATGGAACGTCATAAGGTACATCATTATGGTTCCTGACAAATCTATTATAGGGATTACACGATAAAACTATAAAGCTATTATTAACACAAAAGTTGAGATTTTGACTTGCTAATCCAATGAATCGAGTAAGGTACCACTATTTTAGACACATAATCAACACATTTTTGGCCCTTATCATTAACACTTTAATCAATGTATAATGCTTTTTATATAAGTTTCGAGGTTAGAGTGTTACATAAAGCATTGCACGAATTTTAATACGTCACTACTTAGTAAATGGTTAAGTGTATTTTAAACGAGAAAGACAACATTTGGTCAAATTTGTTAACACGCATATGGAAACCTAATTCATAGCATCTGCGATCATGAAACTATAAATCAAAGGAGAAGTAAATCTTTATGGTGGAGGGATTTGAAGATGGTAGGCAAGTGCAATGGAGATGATGTAAACTGGTTTAACTGTTCTGTGACAGGAAAACTTGGCAACGGAAAAATGTTGAGTTATGGGATCATTGTTGGATTGAAGTGCAACCTTTGGCTATTTGTTTCCTGAATCTGTTTTACGCGATTACAACTCGAAATAGTCATGTTTTTAACATGGGCTACTGGACGCACGAGCAGTAAACTTGGCAGGTTTTGTGTAACAACATTCTGAATTGGAAGGAACCAACTCAGTTGTAGATGTTACAATTGATTATGCAGTTATCTCCCCGATTTGCAGAACTGGACGATAAGTTCATTTGGTGGAGCGATCCTCATAGTTTTTTATGCGTAGCAGTTACGAGATGTTGAGTCATTTTGATGATGTTTATTCTAATACTAATGTGAAAATTCTATCAAGTCCAACGCTAATCACCACAGAATCAACTAACGATTGGTAGTGTCTTTAATACTCCCTTCGTTTCAAATTGAATGACGTTTTAGAGAAAAAAATTATTTTAAAATTAATGTCATTCTCACTTTTCAATGTAGAAATAATTATTATTTTTTTAATTGTCTAATTATTACACTGTACACTATTTACAATACATTAATAAGATTAACTTAATAAAAATATAATATTTTATGATATTATCATTATATTTTTTAATTTATGTATAAAAACTTTAAAGGAGATTTTTCTAAAACGGAGAGAGTACAATCTTATGCTTATAAAAAAAATATTTAATATGAAAAAGGCCCACTGCACTGGGCAAGTGGCTCTCTGGGAGAACAACGTGGCATTATTCGTAATAAACACAAGATGGCAAGGCTATATGAAAAAAAGAAACCAGATAACGACAAACAATGATCCATGTGAAACACTATACCTATATTGCGTGCGTCTCTCTCGTCCTCTATAAAAATAGCCACCAGTTATTTCTCAAAGGAAACCCCGAATTTCCCGTACAAATTCCCATTCAATTTTCTCTCTCATAACCTCCTCCAGCTCCAATCCTTCAATGGGACCCGTTTCCGTTCCCTCCTCCTCCCTCCACCGGCGAACCACCTTGTAGTTTCCAATTCCCTCCCTCTTTCCGTTTCCTTCTCAACCAAACCAATATACATCAAAGAGGAGCCGGATGAGGTATTTTTTGGAGTTAGTTTCTTGTTGCGCCGCGCCGACGATACGCGAGCGTGAATCTTCGGTTCCGGTGGAGGATGACGGAAGGTGGCTGGTTCCGGCACCGGTAGTTTCTACGACAGCTTCCTCTTCATCTTCTTCTTCTTCTTCTCAACGTCGATATCGTAAGAAGCATAAAAAGAGTGGCTCCGGTGAATGGAGGCCGTCGTTGGGATCGATCTCGGAAGATGTCATGGTTCAGCCGAAACGGACGGTGGCTTGTGCGGGAAAAGAGGTTAAGAAGAAAACTGCTCCCCGTGGTGCTGCCAAGGTGTATCACCGGAGTCACAGCGACGGCTATCACGGGTCAGTTAAAAACCGCCTTTTTAAGACTTTGTAAACAAATAAATCTTGAATTTTAATACAAAAAGAAACTGTAAAATTCATGCACATCGATACAATTCATATATGATCAGTTGTAATTTAGTCACATTTGAAACTAAAAGTATATCACAGTTATATTTGGAAATCTTATGTTAAAAAATGGTGTGACAACTATTAAGAAAGCTATAATGGATGAAAGAAAAGATGATATGGGCCAGTGCATAATATAATAGTATAAAACACTGGCCATTATAAAAGTTATTGTATAGACATCAATAATAAAATAAATAGAATCTAAGTATGTATATATCCTTATTGCTTCAACAATTCGTTATTTTTCTTATTCGTTATGCAGTTGACTTATTATAAGAAATTATTCACGAGATTGTTTCAGCAATAAAAATATAAATAACACAAAATTTTAGTTTATTTCTAAGAGTCCTATTAAATGATATATGATTTGAATATATGAATATATGCTTGTCTGATATGTGATTTAAATATATGAATATATGCTATAAGTGGAGACAACTTTTACAAACTGATTTAGGTTGAATTAAGGCGAACTAAATTTTTTAAGTGATATAAAGAGTTTTGTTTTAGATGCGGTAAGATATCTGTTACTAAATTTGCGCTATCAGGTCACCTACTATGTTTTGGATGTTCAGTTTTGAGCGTGAGAAAATATGTTAACAGTCTTACATCAGACAATATATAACATAAACATGTCTGTAGGAATAATCTCCACCTTACAAGCTGTTTTGTTTAGATCGAACCAGATTTCTTAACAATTTCAATTAAATCATGTTTCCAACTAGGTGGAATCAAACATGCACTTGGTCAATGATTAGAGCTTTTATAGACTAATGAAGATTTGATTAGAAAATAATAATTTTAACTAGATAAGATTTTCTAAATTTGATTTGTCATTTGTTAAGTGGAAGTGAGCTGTTATCGGTCAATCTAATATTTGATAGTACTTTTCTTTGGATATTGTCTTTTGTTTTTGTTTAGATTTATGTGACTGATCGATATATAAGTATGAAAATGAATAATGTGTAAACTATATGAATGATTTGTTGGAATGTAATTGTCACTAACAGACTTTATTTTTGGTATAAAATTGCAGGCCTATGATTATGCCAGTATTCTCTGCATCGCCATTCATGTTTTGAAATTTTAAATGTGATGTGTATTGTATATATATTTAATGCTAGTAAAGTGTGCTACTAGGTAAAAAAAATTGCCAAGGGGCACCCACCTTGACCTTGTAATTAAATTAAAGTAATCCTCTATCACTTTTTCTTCTAAATCAACAAATCATTGCATCATAACATTATTTTAAATTTTTCCCATGATAAATCTTTTTTTTTATAGTATTCCCCTTCTGCAAAATAACAGTATTACAATAACTTACATTCCAAGAAAAGATGGACCTGTAAAATTACAACAAAAAATTAAACCAAATCATGGTTAAGTAACGAAAAATAGACCTAAAATTGCAAGCATTCCTCATACAGTAGTGTTGTCAGTGTTCATATTTTTTTCCACTGCCGCCTCCATTCCAGTTAGTGTATCATAGAGTGGTTGGTTTAGCGTCTCCGGCAAGCAAAATGCGAAAAGACCAGCAACAATTCCACATAAAGCAAATAAAGCAAAAGGCCACGATCCACCCATAACGACAATAACTGGTGCCAATATTGCGCCCATTTGTGCTGCCTGTGTAGCGCTCCCAAGTGCAGCATTTCTAACAACAGTTGGAAACAACTCTGCTGTGTAAATAAAGAGCAAATTATAAGTCCCTGCCATCCCAAATATTCCCAAAATTCCACATACCATTTTCACTCCTTTCCATATTCCCTTATTTGTCATCAAGCTCCCAACAAAACAGAAAAACCCACTGAACCATAATGTCCCTATTGTTAATGGCTTCCTTCCTAACTTATCCAACAACATTGCTGTTATCATGAATGCTGGCATTTCTGCGACCGAGTTGAGTATTACGTTGAGGTAAAGGTTTGTTTCGAGGTTTACTACGTTTAGGCTTAGACCATAGTACACCACTGAGCATAACAAGTTGATGATTATTGCTAAAACCAAGCGCGTTCTTGTTATTGGTGAACGGATCACATCCACGAGAGAGCCTGACACTGCATCTTTGTCTTCTGTACTGCTATAAAACGATGATGATGATGATGATTCTTCGTCGAGTGTAAGAGAAACACGGCGTGGAAGGTCGTTGCCATTAGAGGTAGCTATATTGGACATGATTTTCATGGCTTCTTTGATTCGTCCTCGAACAAGGTACCAACGAGGGGATTCAGAGATGAAAGGGAGGACGAAGACGAGGAACAAGAGGGAGGGGATAGAGGAGGCTATGTATAGGTCACGCCATGTTGGGAAGATATATGCTATGCCGGAGAGAACTGCAATGCCCATGGAGAAGAAATAGAAGGTGGACATACCAGCTGCGCCACGCATTGTGGAACCTACGGGCTCTGTGGCGAGGACAAAGGCGCAGAGGCCGACACCGCCTGTGCTGCAACCGGTGAGGAAGCGGAGGATGAAGTAAGCGATGTAGTTGGGGGAAAATGCTGTTAAGGTGCCAAAGATGCTGTTTAGGATGCAAACAACTATGAGAGATCCTTTTCTTCCTAGAAATGAATCTGAGAGGTGACCAAATAATCCAGCACCTGCAAAAAGGTTAACAGAGTACTTCAAATTATTAAACTAAGGTGATGTTAAAACTATGAGAGATTCATTGCTGCCACCAAAACATTAAAAACTGTCCAAAGCAGACCCAAGCACCACTTGCCAGACAATTTTGACCAATTCAACTAGCAGATTTAAGTAATTACACAACTGAATCAAAGAATAGAAAATACTAACATATATAGAAGCTTAACCAACCAATAACTTTCTATAAATAAATTTCACAATATCCTGTAACCATATTTCGCAGCAAAAATCTCCTTCCACATACCATCTCTTGGAACAAGTTTTTTTTCCATTCAGTCAAGAGACTTACATTAATAAGTCCCATATCTTTGATGCATAAAATCCGACTCACCTCAGGAACAACAGATGAACTTTTATTACAAAAATAAGAAGCATAGTCTTCCAACCCATGCTAACAAACTTATTCTTCCACAAATCAAGCCTTTTAGCAATGAGCTTAACCAGAGGCTTCCAAGTCGCTTCCCTCCTCGAATTAACACCTATTGGGAGACCAAAATACTTGAAAGAAAGAGAGTCAACTTTGCAATTAAAAAAAGTTATCCTCCAACTCAAGAAAAGGCTCATCCACACCGATACCAAACAAACAACTCTTAAAAAATTTCACCCTAAGCATCGAAGCCCACTCAAAACTTTTAAGAGTCGACTTAATAGTCCAAAGATTCTCAATAGAAGAATCCCCTGCATATTGGAGATACGACACCACAAGACCCTTAAACCCGACTTTGAGCCCAACAAACGCCCCAATCAACACTTCCTTTCTCAGTGTGGCACTAAGGTCCTCCACACTCAAAATAAAGAGAGTGCCAAAGGATCATCTTGCTTGAACCGGATTAAATATTAATCTTCTTCGTCGAAGACATGTTAACTAGGACCTAAAGACTATCTGAAAAGATACAAGCTCTAATTTACGCTTTCCACCCGACATCAAACCCAAATCTCCTCATCATGAAATTAAAGAAAAGCCAACTCACCAAATCATAAGTCTCCTCAAAATCCATTTTAAATATAAGATAATCACGTTATGAGCTCTTGGTTAAAGCAATAATCTCATTCAATGCGACAATCCCGTCAATCGGCTGTCTACCTTTAAAAAAGGATGATTGACACAGGAAACAAGCTTCCTCAGAACCACATCTAATATGGAAACTAACACTTAAGCCAATAACTTGTAACTTGTAGAGAGACCAAAACAGAGAAATGGTTCTAAAATCCTTCAAGGTCAATGGAGAATCCTTAGAGATAAGTCACAAAGTAGGATGTCAAGCTCCTTAGTAAGATATCATTCTCAAAGAATTAGTCTAACAATATATTCCTAAAAAATTCTTAAAGAACAAAATATTGAAACCATATGAGTTTAGGCTCCTATTTCTCTCCATCTCAACCATAGTCGCATCCACTTTCCAACCATATAAACATAGCAGAGAGATCCTGAGCTTCACTGACCGAAATACAAGACTAACCCCTAATAAAAAAAAGTGATACTCCCTCTTTCTCAAATTATAAGGCGCGGAACAAAATTTATCTCAAATTATAAGTCTTTATAGTTTTAATATAACATTTGTTAGTGCGTGAGACACTTTTAGCGAGAGGAAAAAGAAAGAATAAGAAAATATAGATTCTATTATTGAATTAAATTGTTCAACTGAATTATAAACTATGTCTATTTATATACACCTAACTTGTACACTAAGTAGGTTAATAAATCCTAATTGAACTTAGATTTGGATTACACAACTTGGATTATATCTAATATTATATCTAATATCTCAACACATCCCCTATATCCCAAGTTGTCGAACCTATACTAGTCATAGTCGATCTGAACTATTCTTAATTTCTTTCTCAAATTCAGGAATTTGTCGATCTTCAATCTTTTAGTGAAAATATCGGTCAACAGTGTTTCACTTGAGTAATGTCTTACTTCAAGTTCACCTCGATTTACCTTTTCCCTTAGGAAGTGAAATCTAGCTTCGATATGCTTACTCCTTCCATGCAAAATTGAATTTTTTGCAAGATTAATGGTTGACTTGCTGTCGATCTGCAACACTAAAGGTTTCTTCACTACGACCTCAATCTCTTCCAACACAGATCTGATCCAAATTGCTTGACATGTAGCATAAAATCTTGCTATATATTCATCCTCACACGATGACAATGTCATCCTAGGTTGCTTTCTCGAGTACCATGAGATTGGGGCACAAAATACGTGAAAGAAATATCCAATTGTGCTTCTTCGATCTTCCTTATCTCCACACCAATCAGCATATGAAAAACAAGTAACTGTAGCTTATTTGCTTTCAGAATCTCGTCGAAATTGAATTCCACATTTCATCGATTCTTTTAAGCATCTCAAGGTTCTTCTTACAACCTTCATGTGCGACACCTTTGGGTCACTCATGTATCTTCTTATTAATTCAATTGCGAAACCTATATCAGGTTGACAGTTGCACAAGATCCCACAATTTGTTTGAACAAAGTAGTATCGACTTTGTCTTCCTCTCCATGCTTCTCCAACTTCAAATTTGGTTTGACAGGTGAAGATACAGAAGTCGAGTCATTCATCCTGAATCTCTTGAGTATCTCTTTGACATACTTCCTTTGGTGCAGCGCCATACCTTTCTTTGACATTTGAAATTTCATGTCTAGGAAATAAGACAATTTTCCCAGATTTGACATTTCAAATTTCCTCATCATCATCTCTTTGAACTTCGACAAGTTCTCCAAGCTATTTCCAGTTACCAGCAAGCTATTGACATATAAGCATATGATCTTTATATTGTGACACAACCTGAACATAGACACCATACTTATATTTTTATTTGACGAATTCCAATTCGACTAAGTATGAGTCAATCTTCTTGTTCCATGTCCCAGATGTCTGCTTGAAGCCATAAAGCGCTTTGTGCAACTTATACACCTTATTTGTTTCCTTCTGAATCACAAACCCTGGAGGTTGTGTGACATAGACCTCTTTGTCTAAAGGACCATTCAGAAATGATGACTTCACATCTTAGTGAAATGTCGATCAAACTTTCTTGCATGCTAAGGCTACCACTAGTTGAATAGTCTCCAATCTTGCTACTGGAGCAAATACTTCAGAGTAGTCGAGTCCTACTCTCTGAAGAAATCGTCGAGCTACCAATCTTGCCTTATGTCTTGCTATCAACCCATCAGTATTGTGTTTCAACTTGAGAACCCACTTTACTTTGATAGCTTTTATGTGTGCTGGCAATTCGACTAACTCACATATGTTGTTTCTTTCGATTTCCTGTAACTCTTCAACCATAGTTGACTTCCATCGTTTATTCTTTAAAGCCCCGCTATAGTTGATTGGTTCAACACCTGCAAGTAAAGCAAAATGAACTAATTCTCCTTCTATTGTTACTTCATCATCACCAGTCACTTCATAGTCTTAAAGTCTTATTGGACGAACTCT